TGCTGCCGCAGGGAGCCGCAACTTAGGTATGATATCTTTAAATGCAGACACACACACACACATGCAGCTCATATATGAGTGTTGTGTGTGGGTGTAAGCCAAAACGGACATCCAACTTACCTCTAACCAAAACCCAAAGTTTTCTCTCTCTCTCTCTCTCTCTCTCTGTGTGTGTGTGTATTGTTTTGGGGCAATATACCCAGACCAGAAAGCAGAGAACAGAGCTAAAGCTAGAGTCGCCGTCGACGTTGGAGTCGGAGTCAGAGTTGGCGCTGGAGTCGGAGGCTGAAGTCGCCTTGTCGTGGTTACAGCCAATGCTTCATGCTCTTTTGTTGTTGTTGTTGTTGCTGTTGCCGTTAGCGCTGCAAGGATAAATGAATGAGGAGACGAGCATACACACACACACTCGCACACACCCACACACACACACATGCAACAGCAACAACCGCCGTAGGAGCCAAGCAGTCGAAACCCAATCTCCGAGCACCTTTGCCTCTATATGAGCGCTGCTCCTGCTGCTTGGCTCGACTCACTCTGCCTTAGCTCCTGCTTGTGCTCGTGCCTGGGCTTGGGCTTGGGCTTTGGCTTGGGCTTGGTGTTGCTGTTGGTTTTGGTTTGGTTTGGTTTGGTTTCGTTTCGTATCCATCCATGATTTCCGCACTAATTCCAAACGATCGCCGCTGGCGAAGACGAGCGTTTTGCCCTTTTTCGCCCAGCGAAGCCGGCATGCACGCAAGGGCGGCGGGGCATGGGGGAGGGGGAGGGGCTGGGTGCGGTTGCAGGTCGAGCAGCGCAGGACACACTGTCTGGCTGGCCTTTGTGTGCGGAAGGTTGCCTGGCCGCAGGACATTTTGTAGGGGTTACATAGTCAGCGTCAACGTCAACGTCAACGTCAACGTCGTCGTCGTCAACCTCTGACGCTGCCGCTGCTGCTGCTCTGCTGAGGTGTGTATCACTAGCTCTATGTTGATCTATGTGTGTGTATGTGAATGTGTGTGTGTGTGTGTGTGTGTGCACTTTAGCTCATTTCTTGGCTTTTGTTATCGCTTTTGTGTGGGTTTTCGTTAAAGGTTGCCAGCAGAATGGGGGCACTGGCAAGGACCACAGGACTACAGCCAATTGCTGGGGCGGCCATGTCGCATTGAGATTGAACAGCTTGCGGCTTGAGGGGCAACCGAGCAGTCGACCAGCCGAGCAGCCCAGCATCGGAGCAGGCTGTGTCGAGTGAGCCGGTGCCAGTACCGTCCACCTCTTTAGCCAGCGGCCAGTTTTGTCTATGCTACGAACTCTGCAAAATTATTTGGGCCGCAAGCAATGCAGCAGCAGCTGCAACTCGATAGTTTTGGCCAAAATCTGAACAATGCCAACTAATAAGCTGTCTTTTTGCCTCTCTCTCTCACTCTGTCTCACTCTGTCTCTCTCTCTCTCTATCTCTGTTAATCTCTGTGTGCCTGGCATGTGTAAAACGAAACCCAATAATGGACAAAATGCTAAGCAATATGCAAGTGGAGCAGAGGCCCGAGTTAATGGCAATGCCATTAAAAGGCAAGCCAAAGATGTCAGTCATGAAGATGATGGCCGATGGGCGGCGGGAGAGGGAGGCGGGGCGAGCGCAACGCAAAGGGGGCGTATTATGGTAGCCACAACAACGCCCACTCGAAATGCAAATGTAGCAGCCACAGCAGCAGCAGCAGCAGCGGCAGCTTGACAGGCATAGACTGGAAGCATAGGCTAAGGCAGAGGCACAGGCACAGGCTGAGGCACAGGCTCAGCTCTTTTTAGCCAACAACAACAGCAGCAGCAACAACAACAACAACAACAACAACATTTGGCAACAGCAACGCTTCAAAATTTCATGCTAAGCTGAAGTGTAACCAAAGGCGCTGCAAACAGCCTCTGCCTGCTCGCACCCACACACACACAGACACAGCAGAGATATCTATGTCTCTCTCTCTCTCTCGCTCTCTCTTATTCTCGCTCTGTCTGGCTGTTGTGTTGCCGCATAGAAAAGATAACGCCTCAGGCGCTATTGGACTAGAATAGGTTGCAAAACTGCAAAGCTGCTGCAGCGTGTGTGTGTGTGTGCGCGCTTATATACAATACCGTTAACAGTGGGTGTCTATGTGAGTGTGTGTGTGTGTGCGCCTGCTGCACCTGTGCCAAGCTGCCTCAAGTGGACCGCAAAGCAATTGAAATTGAATTGTTGTGTGGCACAGACCTCGAGCTGCAAGCTGCATATGTTGCGATTGTTGTTGTTGCTGCTGCTGCTGCTGCTGTTGTTGTTGTTGTTGTTGTTGTCTATGGCATTTAAGCCACATTCATTGGCCATGTTTTATTGAGCGCACTGCTTACGCTTTCATAATTGTTGTAAATTAATAAAAATGCAAAAAGCCACCAACGCGATGCAGCTCCACACACACATACATAAACACACACACTATCACAAATGTATATAGACAGAGTATGAGAACTGCCCCGCAGACATTTTCTTTAGCAAATCTTTTTTTAACCCTAGCGTTTTTTCCAACGTCGCTTTGGTATTTTTTTCGTCTCGAATAGGAATACGAATGCGAATGTGAATACGAATACGAATACGAATGCGAATGTGAATGTGAATGCGAATGCTCATGTAGTTAAAGTTAATCAAATCGTAATTACCCGAGCCATATAGCCCAAGGGCTTAAAACATTTTAAAAAGTAAACTTGTTTAGTAAATACGCTGAGTTTAGTGGTAAAGGGAGACATAGAAAGAGACAGGGAGACACAGAGTGAGAGAGAGAGAGAGATTGAGTAAAGGAAAGAGTTGGCTGGAAGGGGCTGCAGAGTCAATTGCATGCATTAACTGGGCAACAGCCAACTGGCAATTGCTCTGTGGCCTAATGCGCAGACAGCAAAAAAAAAAAACTGGTAAAACGGAATCATTCAAACGACTAATAAATGCCCTGTAATTCGATTTTAATTATCGTAGAAATGCGCTGAAAACTTTGTGTGGGGTCAACAAGATTATTATTTCTATATAAATATAAGAACATACTCATCAAAATATAAAATATATAAAATAAG